TACTAGCTGTCGCCCGCGACTCCATCCGCGTGGATATATAAAAAAACTTAATATATAGATAAGTTAAATAAAAAAAATGAATAAATAGTATCCTATGTCCGTCTCCTGGGTCTAAGCTACCTCCTCATCAATTTTCAGCCATATCGGTAAAGCCGTTCTTGAGTTATAAATAGTGTAACTAACATGACTTTTTTATATATATATATAGATTATCGCATTTTTTTATTTCTGTAGATGTCGATGAATGCGCAGAAACTGGGGAAAACAACACTGCCGAAGGCAACCTCGGTCCTTGCGTAAACGCGGCAGCTTGCAACAATACCGCCGGAGGTTATGCTTGCGCTTGCCTCGCGGGGTGGACAGGGAGGGACTGCGAGGTGAACGTGGACGACTGTACTGGGCAATGTCTCAATGGGGCAACATGCATCGATTTAGTTGACGACTTCCACTGCGCATGCGCTGCGGGCTACGCGGGACGGACTTGCGCAAGAGATGTAGATGATTGTGCCTCCCGTCCTTGTAGGAATGGAGGCGAATGCGTCGATCTCCTTGATGCCTATCGATGTATTTGTCCCGTTGGATTTTCTGGAACGGACTGTGAGGTGTGATTTGATCTTCAGTTTGATTTATTTAAACGTATACGCTTTTATTAATCTCCTTTAAACTTTTGTAATAATTTTATTATCATCTATTTATTATTCATACTTTTTAACAAACGTTTATATTCTTATACTTAGTCCCCTGTTGCAGGGAACAAAAGTGGGTCTTGGCTACTTTTATGCTTTAGCTAAATAATCATTTAATTACCAACTAATATGAATCTTTTTCATCTGTTTGAATTTTCATAATTTTAACCGACTTCTTCGCGCCTATTTTTCTGCCCTACATTTCTCGTATACTAACATTTATTTTAGAATTTCTTACAAATGAGTAAGTTATTAATTTGACCGAAATATATATATCTATCTGCATTAACACACTAACAAAACTTCTGCTTCTAGCTACCTTCCTGTTTTGGACGTTACTGCCGGGTGAGTTTTAAATGTAAGCCGTGTTTTGTTTGAAATTTCGTCCATAAATTATTATTATAAACGGTTAATATAGATATTTTATGAAATACTAGTTATCGCCCGCGACTCCGTCCGCGTGGATATATGAAAAACTTAACATATAGATAAGTTAAATAAAAAGCAGCTCTTCAAGGCCAAATTAAAAAAAAAAGAATAAAAGAATGAATAGTATCCTATGTCTGTCTCCTGGCTCTAAGCTACCTCCTCACCAATTTTCAGCCATATCGGTAAAGCCGTTCTTGAGTTATAAATAGTGTAACTAGCACGACTTTCTTTTATATATATAGAAGATAAGATTATAAAATAGAGTATAGTATGAAATATAGTATAATAAATGTTGGTTTTATAGGATGATAGAGACCATTGCGCGGGTTCGCCTTGCGCTAATGGGGCACCGTGCTACACCGCACAAAGTGACTACTACTGCCATTGCGCGCCCGGCTGGACCGGCAAGAACTGCACGCAACGCGCCGCCAGGGACCGTGAGTACTTTAGTCTATCCTTCGCAACTGTCTCCATAATTTTCTAGATTCTTTTAACAACATTTATTCTGCCCATTGTTTACCAAGTTTGTTTTATGTATTTTACATTTAAATTATGTAATTTCAGAAATAGACGAGTGTACCGCCAATCCTTGCCGAAATAACGCGACATGTATTGCCAAGACCAACGGTTTTGCTTGTGTATGCCGTGAAGGATGGACAGGTATATCTTTAAGTTTGTTACTCTGGTAATCTATCGATATATATCTTTGCATTTTTCTATTCATTCTTCCATGACTTCAAAGTTAAGAATAGTAAAGTAGTCGTTAAATGTTGACGTATGTTGTAGGTGAAACTTGTAATGTGCGCTTGGAGGAACGCGACCGCTGCGAGGGACTTTGCGCTAACGGAGGCACTTGCATCAGAGAGCCTGGTGTTTGGCGGTGCGCTTGTCCCGCTGGGTGGGTCGGTCCCTCGTGTGAAACACCCATAGTTCCACTAGTTCCGCCTACCGTCCCCTCCCCTCTCGCACCGCTAGCTCCTCCACCTACGACAAGCTGCGCGTGCGCACACGGAGGTACTTGTATTCAAGCTGCTGTGCCTTCTGGTTGGGCGTGCGTTTGCCGTGAGGGCTGGACTGGGACTAGATGCGAGCGAGCGGTAGACGGATGCGCTTCAACTCCATGTCGTAACGGCGGGCGTTGCGTGGGAGGCTCAGGGTGGTGGACGTGCGAATGTCCCGCGGGATGGACGGGCTCGGAGTGCGCGGAGGCGGCCTGCGAACCCGCCTGCCCCGCTCCTGCAACATGCGCATCTGATGCTGAGCGGGGTGCTAGGTGCGTCTGTCCGCCGCCACCAGCCCGACTCGCACGACACTGCTTGGAAAGTAAGTATCGTTGTTCTCGTGCTGTGCTGTGTTGTTTATTTTGATTGCCTTTAAAAATAAATAACTTTTTTAGTGATCGCCGGGCTGGGTATTGAAGGTACAGACGTGGACACAGCGCCAGCGGTGTGCGGCGCAGACAATGGTACGTGGTGGTGGGGCTGCAACGCGTGCCGCTGTGCCGCTGGAGCGCCGGCTTGCACGCGCCTCTGGTGCGGCCTTCCCGACTGCCTTGCGCCTGGCGCACAGCCCTGCCGCACTGATGAGGTGAGTTACCATTCTAAGGCAAATCAACTTTGTTCAGAGCTATCATAGATTAATGGTCAAACTCGATAACAAAAACTCCTAATCGTAAAAGAGAGCTTAAATTTTGTCTAATCTCGTGACCAGGTTTGTGTGCCAGCGGCGCCTGCTCTCTGTCTCCGCCCTCCGTGCGCACCACTTGGCGAATGCAGACGCGTTGCTGGTAGACGTGTGGAGCCACCCGCGCTACCCGCGCCCGCGACCTGTTGGCCCGGCGCCAGGGGAGCCCCGCCAGCAGGCTGCGCGAGGGCCGAGCTTCGCCTAGCAAGAGAACGGCTCTCACGCGGCGCGCACGTTGAACGCGCCTGTGCAGCCCTGCGGCGTGCGTTAGCCGCAGCATTGGCTGCGAGGTCCCCGCCCGCACCACCTCTCGCTCTACTCTGTGATCTCGCACCTGATGACGATGATGCCTTGGATCTTGCCTTGGTAATTTATGGACTCATGATTATTTGTGAAAACAGACAGTTTTATACCTATCGAATGTTCAAATATATTGATTTTTACTTTTATTCTTGTAACAGTGGGCGGGTGAAGAAGAAGGAGCTGAAGGGGACATGAGTTCCGGCGAGACAGACGCAGGGGCATTAGCGGCGGCCGTGAGAGCTCTGAGCGAGCTGGTTTCCAGGCGACGTTTGGCGCAGCATGCACTGCTCGGCGCTGCATTACGACTGCGCGTCGTACACGCGTCTTCACCACCGCCTGTTGCGGAAGCCAGCTCCTCATCCGCTGCCCTCATCGCTCTGGCAGCTGTAGTGTCACTCCTACTGATCGCAGCCGGTGCAGCTTTAGCACTGTTCATCTATAGAAGACGAGCCGCAGCTGTAGCCGCCGCTGCAGAGCGCCTGAGACGACGCGACGAAGAAAAGTCGAATAATTTACAGAATGAAGAGAATCTCCGTCGATACGCGAATCCCTTGCGTGACGATAGGCCGGCGGAGGAATTGCCCCGCGCGCATTCGCTGTACAAGGCTCAGAATGCAGACGCGCGTAATAACACTCCGCCTCGAGACAAGGAGCTGACGAAACGCGCGCTCCCTCCCCCCGAGCCTCCCCCTGCGCGCCACCCGCCGCCCGAGCGGCTCACTGTGCTCGTGTAGCCGCCCGGCCCGCCGTGTGATACTAGTGTAGGATTGGCGAATCAAGGCGACATGTGGTAACGGTCTGACTTCACATTGATACAACTGTAACGCCTTATTCACTTTTTCTTCCTCATCTTTGTAATTAATGTCCAAAAAGAGCGAGATAACATGGTAATAGTGTTGATTTTTCTTAGGTATCTCAATAAAATTATAATATTTAAAATTTTACAAGCTAATAAGCTCTATAAAATATGACAAATTAATGTTGTAGATGTCCAAATTAATATTGAAACTATTTAATTTGTACGTCCGTTACCACACGTAGCCCGCCGTAAATCTTTTAGTGTTTATGGACCCTAATGAAGAGAATGACGAGAAGAATCACGTCCTTATTTAATTTATTATGTTAGTGAAGTTCCGCTGTAAATATGTATTTTTGTAAATAATGTTAAAGAGTGTAATAATTTTTTGAATGTTTTATTGAGAGATTATCCGATGCGAATGTATTATTGTAAAGGTTGTAATGTTGATACAAGAAGTGATCGTTGTAATAAAATGCTGCTGAAATAAATTAAAATATTTGTTTTATTATTCTCTGCTATTGGCGTTTATTTCCTCAAAAAAATGGATTTAAAATACAGGTTTGGCGTTTGACGATTGTGTTTACTAGATTAAAGCGCCATCTGTGAGTGTACTCCAACATACTTGAGATTTGTTCGTTTGTATCAACGATAATAGATGGCGTCATTTTGTATTTTAATCATGTACTTTACGTATTTTTATTAAAAGCTATTTCTAATAAAGAGTTTATAGATAATTAAATTTTAAAATGTATAATGCAACTAAATACTAACTTAATTACTCCAAAAAAAAAACAGTTAGAAGCTAAAAACTAAGATCGGCGATGACTAACATTATCATATTTGTATTATTATTTCTGGTGATTTTTGTTTTTCAAAATGATTATTTTCAAAAAGTTTCTTAACATGAAATCTGTTCTAATTTGTTTTGGATTTTTCTCTATTAATACGCTTAGATTCTCATGTAATAGATGGACTCAATAGTTAAGTACAGCGCCATCTAGTTTTCGCTCTATTGATCATTTCTTATGAAACAAAATTTAATTTTGATAGTAGTGTATCAGTTTTACTACAGATGGAGACGTTTAAAAATTAAAATGTACTTAAATGAAACAATTATTAGAAAGATGTTTAACTTGATATTAGCAGGCAAAACAGACACTTGGATATTGTATTTTTTCAGCAACCTTTTGTAGTCTTGGCTGTACAACGTCTCTGCACCAGCTGTTTACACTATCCCAGTTGTTACGAGGTAAGTACTGAAAAAATTATGAAGTTAACGATTGAACAACCATCTAAAGTTTCATATGCCTTGGTTTTCTGACTCCAAAATCTCCGTTTAAAACATATTGTTATCTTTGGGTTTTCAGAAACCCACGGTTAGATATAAGCTGGAATCGTACAAACAACGCTCGGCAACGCTTCAGAGCGAGACAAACGTAGGAATGAAACATAAGGCCTATGTACCCTTGAAAGCGAACTAAAGACAAAATTAAATTATTCACATTGAAACCCAAAGTGGTCTACTATAATAGATTCAGTTTAGTAGTCTGTTGAACGTCGTCTTAACGAACTAAATCTACGATTTTTTTTTAATTGCAGTACGCTTTTAATAAAGTTTCAGGCCTATAAACTATTGGCTTAAGCAATCTAATTGATAATTGTGGTTACCGCTCAAAGATACTCACCCGTCTAGATATGACTTGTGTAACATGGTTAGCTGGTAGGTAAATCATTCGGACTCCATTGACTGCGTTCACGTTAGCCGTCTGCGCGTGCATCGTCTTTTGTTTATCGTTCATATTCTTACTGATCTGAAACATCGTACAGGATTCTGTTGATCTTTGGTAAATTATAAAAAAAATCTTTATGAATTAAAACCTCTTGCACTATAGTCCAAGAGCTAGCACCAATTTTCGGGTAGGTATTTTTTATATCAAAAGGTGGCAAACGAGCGAGCCTATAGACATACGTAGTTGCATATGCGTTTACCCTTAATTGACGGTGGAGAGGATGCACAGAAAGAAAACATTTTCCCTTTCCATGCATCCTCTCATCCGGAAACTCCTCTTCCACTTCCCATCGTTTCCTTAAAAGAAAAAGTGTGAGAAAGGAAAGAGGACCATAATAAGGTCTCCGGGACACAAATATATCAGGCAAGTTGAAAAGTTGATCCATACCTTCCCTGATACACCCCAACTCGGCTAAATAAACCCTTTTCATTTTTAAAAATAAACACACTACACTACTAGATGGCACAGGCCTTTGTCCCTTCTTCAATTGCCTTTATTGCTTTCGTACCATCTTTACACTTATTCAATAATATATAGTCTTTAAAAATTACTTACCGTACAAAGGATTCTTATAACAGAATGTCTGAATACTCCGGTATATCTCTGTTCTGGCTGTCCGTCTAAATTGACTATTACGTCATAGCCAATCCTTATGTCTCTCAGATTGATATGTCCTCTGACACTACCGTGCCATTCTAATGTACCGTTGACTGTTCTACTAGTCATCAGTGAGTTAATATCTGATAAGTCAATCTTTTCTATGGACACGACGAAACCATTTGTGTAGTTGACTGTACCGGACACATGCCAGTTATACATATGTTCGCTGAAGTGTACAATAAAGATGTGATTGTTATGCTTATAGATATGGAGCTGAACACACTTTAGACAGAGAAGGTACATTGTTATTATTGTTCATAAAACAGATTAAAGAGAAGAAGAAGTAATTCATGTGATGAGAGTGAGTTCTGGAAACCTAATTTTAGTACTCTTTCCTATCTTCTCTTAATGTGGATTTTGACTATTTCTACTAGTAGACTAGTCCAGTATTTTGACGTATAGAAAGGGGAAATATTCTTTGTCTGTGCATCCATTTCTCTTTGATTAAAGGTAGATTGCGCATCAGCCACTGCGAATGTCATGGACAGCAGTCACTTTATTTTTTCGGCAAATGGCTGCTCCAAAAATATAGCCATAAAAAATTGTTAAAAAGAAATTCTTCTATTAAGTAACGTACTAACTAAACTAAAAGTACTTACTTTAGCGTCTGAGATATATCTAACATTTTTAAATTCCACCAACCATATTTCTCCAATTCAAACACCAATTCTTGCATTACATTTATAAAATATTCATTTCCACCAACCAGGCGTGGTGAACGCGCTGCGAAAAAGAACCAAAAAGGAGCCTTCAAAAAACAAAGACAACAAAAAAATAGACAAAGTGATAACCTTCCTTCTATTTGAGGTCGACTCAAAATCGTCTAAAAATCAAGATAATAAAACAATGAAAATTGTTACACCGATAATTGCAAAGATAAAATTTAATTCAAACCAAAACTCCGTACAAAAAGTGGACACGTAGGCCCATAGTAAGATAGAGTTAGTCAGTACACTGTCTATCGAAAGAAAACAAGACAGGGGGGGGGTAAGAAGTGCATTCGCTTCAAAGCGATACCATAACCAATTTCAAAAATCTATAGAACTGACGCGTGACAGTCACATGACTTATCGAAAGTTATTGTCAGCTCTATACATTGCTTAAGTTCGATATGGAATCGTTGCAAGTTTATTAAATCTTTAATTAGAACCAAGCTATTATACATAAGTATGATAATGGATATACTGATAAATTGTCTTACCTGCTCTGTGATTTGATCCACTTACTGTGGCGATTATAGCAAACACGTACACAATTGTGGACAATTCCATTTTTAATATCATATATGAACACTAATTATTGTATTATTACAGCGGTCACAATATTTAAAGATGTTATTAAAATCATTACGTTATTATCATAATGGAATATAGATTTTATCAGATAAGATATTGTAGTCAAGGTACCTTTTAAATAACACTAGTAATCGCACGCGACTTTTTCAATGTGACATTAAAATTATAAAAAAAAATATATTATTTACTCCTACATAAATCAGCTGCCTTTAGTCCAGGTCTGGTCCATCGGTGCCGTTCCAGAGATTCCCGGATGTGCGGACAGACGGACAGACATCATATTCGAGAATGTTTATTAACGGGTAAGATTAAAAAGATTCTTTTCTTTAAATCTATTTAATTATTTAACAACTGATAAAATACCTTAAAAATGTTATTACTCAGTTATTAGTCAGTCAAATATTTTTTACTCAGCGTACTAATGTTCGTCAAATCATCACGAAAAATCCTTAGTTTGTCTTCGTCTATATTTAGTCTTTGATATAGGTTTATATCAAACCTTCACTAGAAGACTACTTAAGTATATTAAACTGGACAGTCGTAGCAAATCTCAGGATAATCGACTACATTCTCAACAGCGTTGAGGGCGAATGGTCTTATGAAGTTAGAAGCCCATACGTTTGCAGCTTCTGATATAGAGTCGAAGTTGAACTGAAATATAATTACAAATGTTGTTACAAAGCTGAGAGGAAAAAGTTAAAGGGGACCGATATAGTTTTCTGGAACAGGCCATGATCCGCGGTAGTAGTATCTCAGAGAATTATAACAATAACGATGAAGATGATGATGATGATGGCGACGACGACGATGATGATGATGGTGATGATGACGATGAAGATGATGATCATGATGCTGATGAACATGGTAATAATTACAGTGATAGTGATATAGAATCGTGGTGTTTGTAATGTCAATACTACCGAGATAAAATAAGTAACAAAGAAGGTGGTACACGGAACGTGTACTCGTGTTTAAAATACATCCCATATTTCAATCACTACATTAGTATTATAAAGTTCAAACTTTAATGCGGCTCGTTAGCTCGCTCGGTAAATGTAACATCAAATGTAAAAAATTAAATAAATTCTTACCAAATTAGAGAAGACATCTGTCAGATTATCTACCGGCAAAAAGTCCATTTTGACTCTATTTCTGTTGATATTGATAGGTGTAACCGTTACGTTGATATTTTCAGTGAACATGTCTCTAATAACCTACAAAATATAAATGCATTAAAAACTTTTTACAGCGCCATCTATTAATTTTAAGAATTACTACATAGGCTAATATTTAACCCGAAATAATACCAACTTATTATGTCTTATTATGCATGTGCACAAACGAATACAGGGAGACGAAGTAGGATGAGACAATGACATCATCTGAGTCTCATTTTATAGTGCATGCATAGTTTGATAATTTCCTTACCCTCATATCGAATGTCACCAACGGCACTAATAGTTCCGCAGTGTACATTTTGACAGTTCCTTCTATCTTAGTCTCCACATCAAATCCTATAGTAACGTCAGTAAACCTTAAAGTACCGGTGACTTCAACTGTAGTGGTATTCTGAACTCTATCAAACCTCCATTGTTGACCGAGACTATGTTGCAGGATGTCTACATGCTGTATCGCCACCACGAAACCATTTTTGTACACGATTGTACCCGTGACCGACTCGCCGAATATCACCTCGCTGTAAAAAAATCGTTTAGAATATTGCAGTTGTTATCAAACTATAGTATTCCAATGTCAGCGATCTCGCTGTATAGTGCCATTCAAACTTTATGGTGGCTCGGAATATCGTACAGGACAGTACCGTGCGTGCATTTTTTTGCCTAACTGTAGCCGAGCTAGTATAAATTTTGAATCTTATAATACTTAACCAACTTCATATCAACAGTGACGTCTGGTACTTTCAAGTTGCACCATTCAGCATCTTCAAGCCGCTGCACCGTCTCGGAGATCACATTTATCATGTACGGTATAGGCTCGATTAGACGAACGTTATTCACTGAAAAACAATATCATTCATATTATAGATGCGAAAAGTCACTCCCGAATACCTCCATGGATCTTGCTGAAATTTGGCATAGATGTAGAACATAGCTCTGAACAACATGGGCTATTTACTAGGTTTTTTTAATACTGTGCGAAGTCGCGGGAAAAAGCTAGTTATATAAAAACTAATAGTAAGTAAATAAGTAAGTATAGTAACAGTCGCACATGTGGCTAGGTTTCAATATTAAGTCTAAAGACAACGGAAAATATGAGGATGGAATGAGCTGTTGAATTAAGATAAATTTAGGAATTTATATAACAAAATTAAAAGACAAAATGAAAATATAAAATAGAATAATGAAAATGTAAAGATCAGCACGCACTGTTACTGGATATATTTACAACTAATATTTTAACTACAGAGAAAAAGGAAGAAAAAATATATTAAGTTCCAAATACAAAATATAAAAATTATGAGTAAAAAACGTCTAAAAAGGTTCCATATCTGTCGGCAACAAGGAGTAATTGTTATGAAAAAAGGAAAAAGAATGGAAGAAGGCATAGTTCTACAATCAAGTTTGCATGGTTGTTATTTATGGTGTTTATGGTGTATAGAAACATATTAAAACATACCTGCTTGGTTACACACTAATGTAAAACAAAACACAATAATAAATAAAAAACGAATCATTTTCAACTAATTAACAGTGATAAATATTTCTATTTACAAAAGACGTTTTGATATTAAAAACTCTATTGATAATAAAGGCGATTCTAAACTAGAATATACGTAATTCCTTGATAACAACAATGTTTCATAGATTATTTTATCAAGAAATTTAAAGAATCAATATTGATAAAGTTAAGCGTTTAATTGCAATTGCATATGTGGTAGAGCTGTTCAACACTGGTAGAGTCCGTTTTAACACCTTTGCACGAATTGACCCGGCTCGCCCGGTGAAATACCACGACCACACAGAAGACAGGCGTGAAGTGGAAGCAATTCTGCGTTTCGTCGGATGAGTGTGCGTCCCGGAGGCCTATTTTAGTCCTCTTTCCCTGCCCATACTTTTCTTTATAAAGAAAGGATGGGAAGTGGAAGTGGACTTTCCGGATGAGAGGATGCATGGAAAGGGTAGATATTTTCTTTCTGTGCATCCTCTCCTCCGTCGATTAAAGTTAGTCAAAGCATATGCAATTGTGTATGTCTATGGGCAACGGTCACTTCGCTATTTCGGTTTTTTAAGGTGGCACTTGCTCGTTTGTCACCTTATGATATAAAAAAATATTAAAGTTCTCTACTTTTATTAATACGACCTTTGCTATAATTAGTCATGATAACCACGAAATCCCGTGATCCTTGTGTTCCCTCATTTTTCTAAATAACCTATTTTATAACCATATTAACGTCCCCCTTACCCTTTCCATTAGGCTATTGACGCTCCTTTGTATCGAAATCGTAGTTAGATTTTTGTGGTATACGTTGGATAGATCGAAGCAGTCGGGAATTCTAAACCAGTATGACATCTTTGGCAGCTCAGCATTCCCCGGCATGCGATACAAACGTTCTATTAACCACATACCACAATTTATACAGCGTGTTTCGATTTAGACATAATTTTTTATTTAGTGGAATAAGACATATATTAGTTATAACTAAACGAACTTAACGAATCGCGTATTTAAGTGTATATCCTTAATTTCTCTTCATATCTGTTTTTGCTTCATATAACAACTGAAATTCTTGAATATAACGCTTTAAAGTTTCACTGACAATTATTTTGTAATCGTTATCTATTTTCCTACAAACTTGGGTAAAATTTTTAAGTCAGGGTAAATCTCTTTCATATTAAATTCCCATGAAGTACACTTACTGTAAACTTAAATAGTACTTGAAGTTGTTAGAAGTTTTGGTAATTGGCCATAAATAAGTAACATCCTGTATAAACTATTAGACCAAGACATTCCGACATTTCATCGATGTACTACGAGTGCTACGAAAACTGATCGATCGTAGCAAACCCGCTGTCAATGTAGCGGTATTTGAGGAGCCTACGTCGTAGCCGCAGTATTTGTAACATATCGGTTTACATAGCTTGTTGGTTTGACTAAATACTAAAAGTAAGAGAACTTGATTACATTGATGTAGTTTTAATAAAATATTAAAAGACATATGAGAATTATCTCTTAACTTTTTTATTCGTTATTGTAACGAGTTTCTTTTTTTATAATACATTACACCTTTTTATTTTTAAATAGAAACGTACCCTGTCGGAATTTAAGTGACAAAGTCAATCCTTTCAGGTTTATAAGGGTTACCGCAAAAACTTTATTACGATTCTGAACGGCTCAGGTGTTTGTACAGTCGTATATTTTCAAAACGAAAACCACACTACAATTTATAGGAGAACAGACTTTGGAGAACACGAATAGAACTGATTCATTTTTCCAAATCTTTCTCCATACTCAAAGATAATCCTCAATAACAGACCACTTCGTACCATTTTCATCATCATCAGCTCACTATACGTCTCATTGAAGGACTCAGAGCCTACACTAAGTTAGGGGTGCCTAGGCCATAGTCAATTACGCTGAAACATTCCGGGTTGAATTCAAACATATCTTTGAATCTCTTTGCAGGTAGTACGATGTTTCCTTTAAACGTACCACATTTAAGATAATACTACTGTTATCTCTGTTTCAAACGTAGGGAGTGAGAAGGATACGCTATATCTTATGAATTAGACCAACAGCTGTGTAATAGAGTCCATTCTGACAAGTTCCAACTGACAGAGGTTCTTGTAAATCGACAAAATTTGACAGGTGTCCTTTCTCTCCTTTACAATCCAATGAGTCCGCTTGACAACTAATATAAAAGACGGGATAATCTAAAATGTTTTAATATTCAACGAATTTAGTTTAAATCTTACATTTGCATAAAGTTTATTGGCATTTGTATGTAAATATTGCAATGTTTTTTTTTTAAGAAATAAGGGACCATAAAATATGTAATTCTGCGTTATTTTAATATTTGAATAATCAATACGTACGCTAATAGAAATATTCTCTCCACTTGTACTTTGTTACTTGTAATTTGAAGGTTCTAGCTTCGAATCCCGCCATGTACCAATGTGTTTTTCGATTTACATATGTACATTTATCCGATGTTCTTACGGTGAAGGAAAACATCGTGATGCAACAGTGGTACCGCCCGCTTTAACATCTTCGCACGAATTTTCCCGGCTCGCCCAGTGAAATACCACGACCACACAGAAGACAGGCGTCAAGTGGAAGCAATTCCGCGTTTCGTCTGATGAGTGTGCGTCCCGGAGGCCTAATTTAGTCCTCTTTCCCTTCCCACCCTTTTTCTTATAAGGAAAGGATGGCAAATGGAAGTGGACTTTCCGGATGAGAGGATGCATGGAAAGGTAAAATATTTTCTCTCTGTGCATCCTCTCCTCCGTCGATCAAGGGTAGGCAACGCATATGTAATTGAATATGTCTATGGGCAACGGTCACTTCACTATTTCAGCGATTTCAGGTGGCCGCTCGCTCGTTTGCCACATTATGATATAAAAAAAAAACCTGCACATATCTGAGAAGATATTCAAAGATATGTGTAAAGTCAACCCGCACTGGGACAGCGTGGTTGACCTAGTCACTCCTAACTTAAGTTAAGCTTTAAGTCCCTTAGTGGAGACATAAAGCTGATGATGATTAAGACAAAAGGTGTATTCTAAAGCTCATAAAGAATTCTATCATAATAATAACTCAAAATAGCTAAGGTATTATGTAAATTGGAATCATCCCTTATCTTAAACTCGGATTAATTTACCTCTGATCTGTCGCAAACTTCGTCGTCTCTGCAGACAATTTATGCAGGCCGTCTGCAGATATTGGAAATGCTGCAATATTATTGCTATATGATATTACAGTAATATCAGCGGGATATTTGTGTTTATTTCTACTACCGTGGGGATTATAAATCATAATTGCTTATTATCTTACTAATATTATAAATGCGAATGTTCAGATGGATGTTTGTTTGAAGATATCTCCGGAGCGGCTCAACTGTTCTCGCTTAATTTGACATAGATGTAGAACATAGTGTAGAAGAACACATAGGCTATTTGTTAAGTTCTTTAATTCCCCGCGGACGAAATCGCGGGTGACAGCTAGTTTAGTTATAAAAGATAAAAATGGCAGTAACGTACTTTCGTTTGTTTATTTGATAAGATTGCAAAAACGTCTTTAAAAAACTTTTAGTTCCTTTAAGAATATTGCTTATATTAAATTTAAAATAACTTAATCAATTTAAACAGAATTATATAGATATAAAAAAAAATCAAATTTGCAATTCGCAGAACCGCATCCAAACCATTGAGATAACACGAGGGAGGCGTTCCCGCTTCGCTATTACGACACTAGCGGCGTGCGTCTAATTTAAAGGCTGCCATCGTCTGCCACACATGTCACCGACCGTTCGTGAATGTCGCCCGTTTGTAATTTGCCTAGTCAAATTGTTAAGTGTCAGTATATCACATAACAAATTCAATCATTTGTAAAAGATGGTGCTAAAATACAATTCGAACAACTTACCCTTGACACAACATAATTTATTACTTACTAATATTAAAAATGGGAATGTATAAATGGATGGATGAATGATTGTTTTAAGATATCTCCAAATCGGCTGAACGGATCTCGATGAAATTTTGCATACATATAGATCATAGTGTGGAAGAACACATAGGCTAACTAATTATTTTTTTATTCCGCGCAGACGGTGTCGCGGGCGACAGCTTGTGATTTACAATTTAATTTTTCTTATAAATGTTACATATTAATTTAAATTAATTTCTAAAGAAGTCAAAGTATTACAGTATACATTTTATGAATATTCTAAGAACGGGCGTTGCTTAAAAGACAAATTAATATTTAATTAAATTTCACTCTGAGTTTAACATAAATGAAACTCATGTAATTATCAACGAAATTAATATACAGTAACAATTCATTTTATCATCTAAAATATTACCACAAATATCGTAAAGGGTTTATCATGAGAATTTGTGATATGTGTTTTCGTAAAGTCATAGACGAAATACGTCAAAAATTGTATGAGATTTGTCGTTTCATTTTATACACGATAGGGGCGTTGTACCAATGGCAATGGGGTTACGAATACTCTTTTTGATAAGCCTGTACTGGATGTTTGTTTAAAGGTATCTCCAGAACAGCTGCATAGATCTCGCTGAAATTTTGTATAGATATAGAACATAGTCTGAAAGAACTTATAGGCTATTGAGGTTTTCTTTCATTCCGCGGAGAGTCGCGGGCGACAGCTACTACATTTTTACGATGCGCTAATCATAAATATTCGTCCTAGGCTCACAGATCTTTTTACCGGCACGTTGCGAAGCTATCTTGTGTCGCTGCAACAAATTGCGAGCCGCTGCAGATGTTCGATCGAAAGCCGAGCTGCTGAGCATCAGCGGATCGTTCTTATGAATATTTATCGTGGCATAATATTTCTGAAACGCTGTAACGAGTTACGAATTTAATTTATATTTAAATGTAGAAAATTAAAAAATAATTGACGCGCATTGTTATTTTCCCGTATATACTGTTGCGGCATTAAGGCCCTTCGTACGCAAAGCAACATAAATCTTCGATACTAATATCGTATGGTTGCGTCGAATGGCGCGCTTTCGTTACCAAGTCAAGTGTCAGAATGATTAGTGAGGACACAAACGTTGACA